TGTAGTGTGCTGTAGGATGCTATGGGGAGCATGGGGTGCTATAGGGTGCTGTAGGGTGCTATGGGGGCCGTGGGGTGGTGTAGGGTGCTGTAGGGTGCTACGGGGGCGGTGGGGGGGCGTGGGGGGGGACAGGGGGGGGTGCGGGGGGCGGTGGGTGTCATCGGGTGGCCACGGGGCTGTGGGGGACCACTTAGGACCATGGGGCTATAGGGGCTCTTGGGGGGTCTATGGTTGACCACGAGGCCTTGGAGAACCATGGGGGACCATGTGGGAGCATGGAGGGGGGCGTGGGACTGTGGAGGGTCTTGAGGGACCGTGGGAGGTGGTTTGGGGTCATGGGGGACCACCAGGCTCTGGGGATCATGAGGAACCATGAGGGACTGGTGGGGGTCAGTTGGGGCCATGGGAGTGTGGGTGGCCATCTCAGACCATGAACATCCATGAATGGCCATGGGGTCGTGGTGGGGCCACGGAAAACTGTGAGGGACCATGGGTGGCCTTGGGGCTATGAGGAACCTTGGGAGTCCATGGGGGGCTGCTTAGAACCATGGGGCTATAGGGACTCTTGGGGGTCTATGGTTGACCATGGAACCTTGGAGAACCATGGGGAACCATGTGGGAGCATGGAGGGGGCTTGAGGGACTGTGGCAGTTGGTTTGGGGTCATGGGGGACCATGGAGCATGTGGTGGGGGTGTCATTTGGGGCCATGGGAGTGTGGGTGGCCATCACAGACTATGGACGTCATGAGTGGCCATGGGGTTGCAGAGGACCATGGGTGGCCTTGGGGCAATGAGGGACCTTGGGATGGCATGGTGGACTGTGGCGGGCCACTTGGGACCATGGGGCTACAGGGGCTCTTGGGGGTCTAGGGTTGACCATGGAGCCTTGAAGAACCATGGGGGACCATGTGGGAGCATGGAGGGGGTTTGAGGGACCATGGGAGATGGTTTGGGGTCATGGGGGACCATGGGGGATTTGGGGTCATGGGGGACCATGGGGGAGCATGGAGGGGGTTTGAGGGACCATGGGAGATGGTTTGGGGTCATGGGGGACCATGGGGGATTTGGGGTCATGGGGGACCATGGGGGAGCATGGAGGGGGTTTGAGGGACCATGGGAGATGGTTTGGGGTCATGGGGGACCATGGGGGATTTGGGGTCATGGGGGGCCATGGAGAGCTGTGGGGGGCCATGAGGGACCTTGGGATGGCATGGGAGACCATGAGGGGGCCATTTAGGACCATGGAGAGCCATAGGGGCCCCTGGGGGACTATGGGGTGGCCTTGGTTGGCCATAGGGCTTTAAGGACCCATGGGGGATTGTGTGGAGCCATTTAGGACCATGGGAGGCCATTTGGGGCACCACTGGGGTCCCATGGGGTCTGGGAGGTCCCCAGAGGCCATGTGCAGCAGGACGGCCTGTGTAGGACATGCCATGCCCTGGGGACAGTGGGGACAGGGTCGGGGGGATTCGGTGTCCATGAGCACTGAACCCCACAGCCCCCTGGCCTCCACGAGTGCCCCCAGGGCCACCGCCAGGGCCACATGTCACCGCTGCATGGTCCCCAGCATGGTGTCCCCCTCCGTCAGGTACTCGGTGGAGGGGTTCCTGGACAAGAACAAGGACACGCTCTT